TTTCAACTACTGGATGACTATTTGCTTCGTATGCGTGCATAACATACGCTGTTCACATAAGTTAGGATTATCTCAGTGGATGGAAAACGAAAAAAGACTGAACCAGTTTATCGGTGTGATATAAAAGGACGTCACATGAAAACTACCCTGTACATTCACTTCTACAGACAACAAATGATATCAGTTGAAGTTAATCTTTGAGATAAAAAACGAACAAAGGCATAATAAGAACCTGTGAAACCAAGGAAATAAACATAAAAGTTTTTGCCAAAATTCCGGTTGCAAACTGATCTATTTGAGCTCCCCAAACGTGAAGGTGGGATAAGCGGGGGTGCATAAAGCGTAAAATATCTGATATCTCTTCAGTCGAGCAAAACAAACTATTTAAGTTTTTAATTCATAAGTTTCCAGTAACAAATCGCGGGCAAAAATATACTTCCAGGGGGCCCAAGATGCATTCAAAACAATTGGACTATGATTTGAATGCATTTTCAGTTAATTAATATACTCAAACTAGAAATGAGCGAACTTAACGGTATGTCATGCAATCGGACACAAAACTGTCGCGTTGACGAAATTTGAAATGTCTGAACTGGGTCGACAATAAAACATTAACTCAGTTATCGCCGATTCCATGAGTCAATAAGCCAAGGAGATGGACACCCTAATGAGAACATCCCGAAAGCACACAAAAAAGGTAATCAGTGAATGACTTGGTAACTTAGGTCCCCAGAACGTAAATAGAATGAACGCTGCTGAATAGTTGTAACGTGTAAAAAAACGGAACTGCTTGTCATTGACATTTGACTAGTATGTAAACAAAAGCCCGGAACAGTGGGCTATGATTTCACGCTGTCAGTAGAATACTTTTCATTTCATAAAATCTGATTGCAAAAGTGTTAAATGGGATCACTTTATGTAGGCGTTATGAACTGCAAAATATCAATAATGGTGTTTTTCTTATCCTACTACTACACGAAAACTTTATAATAGGAAATAGAGATGAAAATGTGCACTTTTGAGGGTTTAAAGTCCCATAGGAAAATGCATCAATCGAAAGGCTTTTGAGCCAGCATTTACTCTCCGCTTAATCCGAAAACAATTTATGCAAAATTGCAAAGATGCAATTTAAAAATTCAATACTTTTGCCTCCATACGCAGAGTACAACGTTGGTTGGCACTAAGGGCAAACCTTTGATTGACTTCAAGGATCTCTTTGGAATATTGTATCTCAAACATTCAACGATTGCATTGATTCCGATTTCAGAATGAGATATTTGGGTTCACTCAAAAACATATAGTTATTCAGGCTGCATTGACCACTGACTAGTTCAATAAAAAGCTCTTTCAATAATAATTCACTGCAGAGAAGGAAGTCTATGAACTGAGAAAGAACATCATGTAAATGACTTACTCTGGTGAAAACTCTGGATCCTTTTCACATGTTCAATAAGGCAGCTTGGGAACTTGCATTTAACTAAAATGCAGTCTCTCTCTCTAGAAGTGAATACTGCATCTTATATCATGGCAGACTAAGCATAACACTGATTACCTAAAGACGAACTGTGAATGCCGATTGTGTATTCGGGGAAAAGCCCGAAAATGAAATACTCGAGTGTGAAAACAAAATGGGTCATGTTCATCAAGGAGAATAGAAATCGTAACCTTTGAGAAAACTTTTAAGATATGAAAAGTGGATCACATAGACACTGACTCAAATAGACTGTGGTTTTCCACCAGCGCTACCTTTTTGGACTGTGTAAATAAGCGCCATCTATGCACGGAACTTACTGCTTTTGCTATCTCAAATCAGCAACCAATTGAGCAAAAGACTAAAAGNGACTAAAAGGATTGGGTTTGCCAATGTTTGATTATCAAATAAAATATCTCCTTGTGTGGGTAGCTTATGTGGTCCAGTGCGCGTTTTCACTTTATCAAAGGATTCTGGTGTTCTCAAAAGCTGGGAGTTTGTGCAGCTCATCAAAAGGTTCTGCGCACACAATATGTCGGACTGAGTGTTGCCTAAACTGTACACAACCAAAACCCTCGATTACCTTGTTAACATGAGAATTCGATTCTAGAGACCACTTGAGATAAATCTGTATGCCAGAGAATAAACATGAGCTTTCAATGCTGCCGGGACTGAATTTTTGTCAGATATGTAACTAATGATCCACTTAGAATATTTTTTCAAAACCACAAAATATCGTTCAGTAATATGCTTGTGTACTCTGAATCACTGGGTTTCAACCAAATTAGTAACTTGTTGAGCAGAAACAATTAGCACTTTTGCATATCCACTGTTTATAAACTCTATCGATTTATTATTAAGTCACATCTGATAGAGATTGAAGAGACTCGTTCTGCTCCGATCACCTTTACCAATAATAGCAGCGAACCTGGGAGCACTAGTACTTAGAGACACGTTTCTCGAAGAGAAAAACACGACAAAATAACTAACATATTCCATAAGATTTATGTACTTTACATAACTTTCACACTGGTTAATGCAATCACACCTTAGAGGGAGCTGTTACATAATGTCCTCACTCGCACAAATTAAGGCAAATTAGATTAGATTGCAAGCATTCAATAAAAAATTTATTGTATGAAACGATGCGATCAGCCGCAATACTTTGGGTTAGTATTCTTATGAAAAAAATAAACATCTCATCCATCATGCATTAGTGTTTTCCTTCAGAGTTTGCACTTACTTGGTGCTCTAGGTACATCATCTCAATAGAGCTAGATAGGGCTTATAATCGGTCTGTTCGTAATTACGTTTGACACCTCGCCTTTAAGCACACAAGCAAAATCAGCGCTAGTGAAACATGGGTTTATAAACCGATTTTTGTTAGATCCCAAATGAATCAAATGAGATGACAGGTTTAATCAGCTGAAAACTCTTTTCGTTCACTCCTTTCAAACGAATTGATACTCATCACTTGTTTCTTTGTGCACACTGAACCCAGAAGAAATCGTTATCAATCTTAGAGCAAAATAATGGTGAAAACATAACTGCACCGTAGCTTCAATGTGACAATTGCTATGCGGTCACATTCGTTCTGAAAACAATGAATCTGGAAACTGACAGTTCTCACATTTGCTGTTATAGTATTTAAAATCATCCACCGATTTTCCTTGGATCGCAAAGTGATTTATTATCTAGCGTTGCACTCTACTGGCGTGAATCATGTCTAGATCAGTGTGATATCACCAAACAATAGGAGAATAAGGTGCTCTGAATTCGCCGTTTTCGGTCGCAGGCTGATCTAGAGTGTGTGCCAGTAGCACTGACCTGACTCTCAAATCACAGGAGTAAATAACAATTGCCACCCCCCTCAAACACCACAAGGTGACTCATTTAAAGAACTGTAAGTCTGCATTCGGAAGATGGGGGATTTGTCTTTATGTGGTGAAAGAATACCACCTGCTACAATCCATTCGTGTGAGACAGTAGAGTTTGAAACATAGAGCTTAATTGAACCCAGAAGCAATCTACTGATCAAGGGGTCTCGTTATCACGTCCAAAATCAGGTTGACTGACAGTAGAATACAGTAAACATTGAACACCCTAGCTTCAATGACTCAAGAAATAAAAGAAGGTTGTTTACAAACTACTTAGTTAGACAACGTTGCTAACTCCGTTTCACGCCCAATGCCTTTTGAAATTGCGCAGAATTAGGGTTTTTGAAACCAGAGAGAACGAGCAAGCTACTGTTGTACATTCCATTGTACGAAAACATAAAATAGGGTTATTTGGCGGATTTAAGTATGTGGCAGTAAGGTCAACGCTTTCAATGCTGAACTTAAGAAGGGCCATAACATTTTTATCATTTTGCATAACCGATAAATAGATAAATATAAGCCCATTAGTTGTTAGTGGTCACTGAAGCAAAAGAACCACCTTAAACGCAACAGTACACCTCTTGAGATGTCTCTCTCTTTTTGGATGACAGTTTTGGAAAGTGACAGTGCATGAATGCTTTCCGGATATTGGTCAATGATCTCGTGGTGCGATTCACGTTGTTTCTTCCTCTGCGTCTGAAAGCACTAAAAAGGGAATGATTCGTTCTCTGAGATAAATTTAGTTTCAATGCCGGCTTCTTAAGTTTGCCTAGGGCTTGGGAAAAATATTTGTGATAGACAATGATGCTAAGCCACAAGGTATTTTTCCTTCAAAGTTCTAGGTAAGCTACTTCCCGAACAGGCAATTCCAGGAACGAATCCTGATTAGTTTTACACAACCCATCTTTCGTCTGACATACGGAAGGCTACATTTTAAAGCTGCGATCAGAACATATAGATAATAATAATTTGTTAATAATAACAGTTTGATTCCATGCATCCTGATGTAAACGGGCACGGAATAAATCAATCAATAATTGAAGATTATTTAGCCTCAAATAAATCGATATCAAAATATTGCGCGAAGCACAAACAGCACAATGCTCTTACTTTGGAGTCATTATTGCACAAGGAGGGTATGAAGCGTTAAGATGATTTGTCCCGAAAAATAGTACGTACCAGAGTTAAAATCCTGAGCCAAACAATATGTCAGACATTCAACAGTAGCTGAGACGATCGAGTGATCTCGAGTGCTTACCGTCATTGGCCGTTTCTACACCAGAGCGACAGCATTGTTTCTTTTATTCTTAGTGCATCGAGGATCGGAGGTGGAAAGCTAATTAATGATGATTCTTATATAACTGGTTAACCGTGTGAGAAGATGAAGTGCCGCATAAAGTTTCATTTAAACTCATTTGTGCTAGGGTTCTAACACTTCAAGAATCACTTAACGCAGCTTATCAATGATCTGATGAGAACAAAATTCAATTTAATGTTTCTAAATGCAAAGTCTTATCCCTACACCACCTGCGATGATTCTCGTGTATCCTCGGAACTCAGAAGCTATCACATACTTCAAGTGAAAAAGACTTCAGTGTTGTTGTTTAAGCGGATTTAAGCTGCTCAATCAACTGCCCTGAGGCTTCGACCACTGATGTGAGGAATGTAGGCTCACATATGCGAGCCTTTGGTCGGTTTTAACCAGCACTGTTCCCACGTTTGCTATCAGTGTACATTCGAACGTACACACTATCCAAGCTTAAAACGTGATCGCAAGATGCTTGAGCGCCCACGAAGGATGGCCACCAAGATGGTCAAGGGATGGCATTGCTTCACCTATGATGAGAGATGACGATCACTGAGACTGTATTCTGCTCAGTACCGCCGAATTCGGGGAGACTTGATTTTGACGTATCAAATACTGCAAAATCCAAACCATCCATGTCGACAACTTCTCATGTTATCGAACAATGTACATCTTAGGCGACACCGTTTCAAGTTACTGATTTCAAAGTGTCGACTGGGATGCCGGCGCCAATCTTTTGCAGTCAGAGTATGCAGTATTTGGAACACGCTTCCATCTCAAGTCGTTTGTGCACCAACTATTGAATCTTTACAGCTGAGACTCGATGAAACTTTGGTACACCTCACGTTCCTACACCACGAAAAGGAAACGCAAATTCCTTGAAGCCTATATTCTCCATTATCTCCTATCTTGAACTGTATGTGACTTTTTCGCCTTGAAACGATTCATTTGTGTAAATATCCTACGGGGACAAGAGAGCTTGTAAGTAATGCCCATAATAAAACTTTGGCTTTGACTTTGAAATACTCACAGGAAATAACTAACACGAGATTAAATGAGGTACATAATTGTTATCTCATAAGTTCAGTAATAATGGGTGCATATTCTTTCAAATCCAATGGATAAACATCATTCATCGTGCGTTCGGATGTTCAGCAACCGCGAAAACTCAGTGAGTTCAACTATTTCTCCGATGACAAACATTTGTCGTCTGCCCACTTTCTGTGTTTGTGAATAAAATACAAACTCCTCCATCTAGTTTGAAATGAATTCTACTAACACAACCGTAATCAACCGTAGTAAAATAGTAAATATGCTGGTTCTCCGAAAATGCTTCGCAATTGGTCACAACTCAAGTATTGTTTATAGAAAATGCATCGTAAAGAATAATATGTTCGATTGGTCTATGTGCGGCCTTCGTTTGAAAGGTGAACCTTTATTTTGTGAACTTTGTAGTCCGCAGTCTACTTGACCCTGGTCATATGCTTTCAGCTATGTAGTTTGGTGAACTGCAAATAACGCTCGCTGGTAGTCTCACTTTAAGTGCTAGTTGATCGCTCTCTGTGTGTATCATGTTACTCGTCCATCGATTTTTTAATGTACCCCATCTGTTCAACAATCTAAATCATCTAGAGGCATGAGGTTTTTCTGTTCATTGCGCCCTTTATTGCATTCTGCATCATAGGGTATTTGACTGCAAACTCGACGTAAGACAGTGCACCAGTTTACCTACTTGGGTCCAATTTTTGTTCTCAATAAACTAGGTAAAGACCCATCTGGTTGTCAAGACTGAATGTCGTATAGAAAATTCAACTTAGGTGTTCTTTTCAATCAGAAAATTGATTATCTCATGATCTGCCTAATCCCTGACATTGATATTTTCTCAATGAATTTATTGGTGCATAATTATCACAATATATTAGAAACCTTTATAAACTCATGCTTCACTAGGAAGTCACTTGCTCAAAATGAAGCTGTCATATTAGCAGTCAGTAATTGGGAACATTTACCATTTCATCTTTTGATAATATTTTTAAGTTTAGTGCCCCGTTGAGGCTCCCTAAATATTGTTTTCGATACGTGTGTAGTCTCCTCACTTATAATGTCCACCCTGCTAGCTGCACCCCGCTGTGTTACCATCAGTCACATCAGTGTCAAGCATGTTTTGCTTTATCTAAAGTTCATTCTTTTATATCTCAGGCATGGTGTCTGCAGTCAGCGTAACCAAATAGCAGATCTTTTTAACTGGCAACTAAATTCTATGAAACACTAGAATGTATAACCGAAAAATTATTCTATCATTTGTAAAAGTAGTTCTGCTGCATCTCATATAACATCTTAGATATGGAGCGTTGTTTAACCTTTTTCCTATCACAGAGCGTGGAATAAGTAGTTACAGGGTAGAAGTGCAGAGTTGCGATTTTATACTAGCTCCCGAAAGCCTTAGTATAATCAGGTGTCTCAGGTCTTGATTGATCACTCTTTCCTTTTACCTCGCAAACTGCTCCCATAAGACCAAGTGTCTCAAATAGTCTTTTCTGAGAAAACTACTTACTATCTTCCCGTGGTGTAGGTGATTTCTCACCAATGTAAGAGGACGAAAAACCAAGATCCGGGACTGAACCGGATTGGTGCATATATGCCAGTTCACCTAGGAGAGTTGGCCAAAGTCCTTATTCCAAACCAACCAAAAAGAGTCGCAAAAAACACACTCAACCACAACTTGGTTGTAGCGGTCTTCACCAGCTCGATTGGTTATCAAAGTGTATTGGGCACCTCAAACATTTGACCTTGTCCCAAGAGCATATGATTCGATGAACTTGACACCAACATCCAATAGACTATGGTTTTCACACACCGCCTTGCTACCTTGCGAGTCACGCTTGGGCTAGTCAAGGGCTGCGGTTATGAATTCCCCAAGAAAAATCACCTGCCTTGCCCCAAGCAACGCGGCAGTATCGCGCCCACAAGCGAACCAGGAAAACTTTTGTCTTGTTTAAAAGCTCATCATACTCTCTCTCTCAACTTAACTCTAGAGAATGTTTAATGTAAAATGAACTTTTACATAACGGTTGTGATCATGCAGTTTTGGCTTTGGACTTCACTCCCACGATCAACGACATAACTGCAGGAAGCTGCAAGTGCTTGAAATGCCGTTTTTAGAACTCTGGAAGTGAATGAGAGTGGGCACTCACACATGGTCGTTTCATTGATTGCACCTTCATAATTTCATAGCCGGTGGTCTCTGCCACTAATCAGTGTACTTTGTTCCAGTATTTCGTGTGATGTCGCAGATTAAAAACGAATTACCTGTTTAAGATAAAGACAGTTATTTATTTAGTATGAAATAGTCACGTTCAGTTATCAACCCACTATCAACGGTTGATCTTCACTATTAGAATCTTGGGTAAATAAATATTCAAAGAAATGTATATTTGGGTTAGAATTGAAAGATAAGGCCACGATTCTCACCCGTGAACACGATTTGAATAAATTCTCATTAACTTCGTTTTGATAACGTCCACGTGTGATACTATAAATCTATAATTCTTATACTTTCAATGAAAATGTAGTCATCTATCTTGAGGGACAAAGTTTATGCAAGACCCAAACTAGGCGTGTATGCATCACCTGATGCACAGTGAACTTGCGTGGGTGTAGCGGTTGATCTTGCATCAGCGAACGTGATCTAAATAAACGATAACCCATGTGCAAAACACGTGCGCTTATCGATCACAAGCGTGATTGAGAGCTGTAGCTGATCACGTGGACATGATTTTGAGAACCAGAGGAACAAATATCGTGGTAAGCCCTAGCCAACAAAAAGACGAGGCAATGCATTTGGGGCATCATTTGGTTTGAACTACTGCGCTTTACTCAACCAGAATCGATTCGATCAGTCAGGAAGTAATATCGACAGATAAAAGTTACAATTTTATAATTCAAAATTGTTTCTCGCATATTTTTTTCTATAAAACTTCAGTCAGGTAAGAAGAGATGATACGGAGTATCCGAAAACCAGTGTATTAACTTTAGAGCGACTGGAGCTATCCAACGAGGAAGATTATACCACAGTGAGTAAATGGCTTCTTGTTTTTCATCCACTTTAATGATGTAAATCGAAAGTGTTCACCGTTGACGGGCATAATGCAGGATACAGCGCAGATGGGATTTTCACGGTAAGGAGTTAGCATGATGAAGCAGCATGATTTGGTGGCCCATCTATAACTGATTTAACAAACTGGGTGTTTTGAACAGTTATCTATTCGAAGCCCACCTTCGTAATTGGAAGGCTGATCATGTCCACCAGGAGACTCATTCTGGACTATTAACTATGCATACAGTGTTCAAAATGAAATTAAATCTATCCTTTTGTGTAAATTCAAGGCGGGTGTGTATGGCACAGTGCAAAGAAACCTGCCCTTGAGTGAACGGTAAGTAGGCAAACGTTTCAGAATTAATTTTCAGAAAAATATAGACGAACTTAATTCCTGGAATTGGAGAAAGTGTACTCAAATGTATGGGGTGATTTTCATCGACGAAATTCTTGTTTCACATTCTCTTGTCTGCATGTGCCTTTTACTTCCCTCACATTCCGACATAAGGTCAAATGGGCGAACATACACAAAACCTACAGGTAGTGGAATTCACCCTTTGAATCATCCAGTTACGAGTATTTCATTTCGCAGGAGAAAATTCGCCGATAGTGTAGGCTAACACCATCACAGAGAACGACACACCTGCATGAGTACTGTTCACTGGGATGGTATGGGCGTCCCCGAGTTTGCATGCATCAATCAACTGAATACAACAAAGTGTCGTAACTGCTTAAGACTTGGTGAGTTTTCACATTTCAAATATAAGTTGTCTGAATTAGCTATGGCACTTGTGCCAACGTCTCTCCCCTCACAATCCACCTGTCCTTCTCTATTGTAGAGGTGGGTATTGCAAGGATTTTC